CAGAGATAAAGACGTCCCCCTGGTTTGGGCTGTAGACAGAGGGCTCTGTCACTGTCCTGTTCCGCCTCATACTCCCTGTATTGAGATCAGTAGGTGTGCGAGAGCCTGCTGGAGTCTTAGGGTCGCTGGTGGAGCGCAACTTCTTGCTGGGGAGGGACAGAGAGTTGAGGAAGCGAGTGCGAACAAAGCGAGTGGAGGCCAGGATTGTAAAGGGGCTGCGGTCCTTGACTGGCTTGGGGTGTAGATAGAAAGACTCGTCTGACTGGTCCAGAACGTCGCACTTGTCATCATCCAGGATGTACATGTCTAAAGCACAAAGAGTGAATTAAGAAAATACTGCAATAACATATAAGGACTAGTGCTTATCATAACTGCCACCACAAATACCTGATTACTGTGACAGTGCAGCTTCTTACATATAACTATCAGAGCTTCCCTGTACTCTACAAATGTTGGCAATAAAGCACAGACAAAATTAAGTGCTGCGTACTTGGCTGAGACTCGCTCTCACTGTTGTGGCGTGAGCTGGTAGATTCAGAGTTCAGACTGAGCGTGCTCGGCACTGAGGAGAGTTCAGAGGTCAGCTGCGTGTCGACCTCGTCAGGAGTAACAGGCCACAGCGTCCTGCGACTATGTCTCACTGCATCCCAACCATACTGCTTCAGCACTTCACAACCCTGCCTGGTCTTAGCGATCACACCCAGAACATAAACACTAGTCCTGTGGACAGAAGAGAGGAGTTAGTAACTTTGATAAATATACACTGCTGCTTGATTTGTTTTATTGGAGACATATTTCAGCTCAACACAGTGAAACAGACTACATTCATAATTCAGCAATAAACATCCTGCTTTGGCAGGAAATCTCACAAGGGTGAAATATAAATAAATTCTTGAGGCTGAACAAGCACACTAGTTCCCCCATGTCACTGTTGGGTTGGTGTTAAATTATTTCAAAATACTTGAAAAAAAATTGTGGCTATATTTTTAGCCATCCTTACCACCACTTTAAAATGCACAGGGGACATCAGATCTAGGAGAAGGTCTCTTTAAACCAATGTACTTCAGTGAATTTTTAAATGATAAGCCTTAGAAGTGAAATACCTCCATGTATAATTGTACAGGCGTGTGAATACAGGCTTACCCTCGTACTGACAGCACTTCACAGTGCTGAGCCAATGCGAGGATGTCAGGAATGGCATTCTCCTCCTGCAGGAGATTCAGACCCCAGTTTGAAGAGCCAATGTTGCCCTGCATGGAAACCAGCACGCACCATCAGAGCCATCTCATTGAATCTATTATTATATTTTCATAGTGTCAGGGTAAGTACTTGATATAAACTGATAGCAAGTGTTACTGACCAGTGCCCAGAGAGCAGCCTTCAGCTGTTTAATGCCCTCCCAGGTGTCCAGCATCGGGGAGCGAACCGTGTAGCTGAGGTCAGGAACCACGCTCTGAAGAAAACACACACACAAAAAAACAGACATTAGATAGGAAGGCTGATAAATCAAGACAAAACACTACTCTGCACAGTAATGAAAGTAGAAAATGAAAAGGATGAAACCAAAAAATGCCCTGAAGATTTTACCTGAGCTTCCAACAGGTGACAGCCTGTCTTATCATGGACCAACTGACCGTACAAGTGCACAGGAAGATAGACATTTGGTCTTTGTAACCTGGAAACATAACCAACGACAGCAGTCACAAACACTGTGGTGTATCCTGCCACTCGTCACGAGATGACACACTCCAGCTTCTCACCTTTGGTTGCTGCGTCTGACGTAGTTGTCTCCATCAACCGGTTTGCGGTAGGTTGTTAGTGCTTCGTTGAGCTGCTCCTCTATCAGGTCCACATACTTAAGGTTATATTCCTGCAATCCAAAAGACATTTAGGTCAGAGAGTAAAATTAAAACCTCTTCTAATTTGTGGTCTTATCATAATGTTAGTAGCCAATTAAATTTAAACAGATTGCACAGTTTATTTTGCTGCCTGCCAATGCTGTGATAATACCTTCTGCCATTTATCCAGCTGTTTGCTGACGTAACCCCTCTCATTGAGGTAGGAGAAGCCTTTAGGAATAGAGAGGAACCTGACCAGCAGAAAAACAGTGCTTTAGAGAAGGCATGTAATGTTTCTGGACTGCATAAAAGACTGAAAGCCGTGTCTTATAAGCAGTGCTGTCACGTTAGCACTCACCTGAGGAGCAGCAGAAGGCCTTTGTCTGCCAGGTGAGATAGAGCTGGTTTCAGTTGGATTAGAGCATGAAGGTTGGCCTGTGAAGCAGCACAACATAAGACAGACAGCAGGAACGCTGGCATAGAATACAACTAGTCACTCAATCGAACAGTCATTTCACACTTTAGTATTTCAACACTGCCTCTTTTCAAGTAAAAAAAAGTGTCACTTTTCTGCTCTGGCAAGTGAAGAACAAACCCTAACGTGACAAACAGCTCTTCAGTTCTACTGCACTGACAGTACTCTGAATGATGCGTGCATTCCCATCGGTCACCTTGTCCTCGCAGGCCTCATCCAGTATGTCCAGGGCCTCCATGGACACAGCCTTGTTGTGGTCATGAAGCTGTGTGACCAGCAGCTCCATGCCCCAGCTACTGAAGAATTCCACTCCTGCACGCAGCAGCACACGGAGGTGTTTGGTGGCATACAGCCTGCATGTCTGCTCAGTGAGAAACAGCATTGTGGGAGGAAGAGGGGGCATGGTTATTATAGCACATGTAGAGAGTCACTGGTTTGCAGCATATTCTTATATTCCTATTCTTCAATTGCAAAAATGGAACTACAGCTTCCAGAATTTAACTACTTGCAGTTTTGGGGACAAAGATAAATAGGACAGATGTGTTTTTATGTTTGCATGTCTATCTGTCTTGTTCTCATGGAAGTCTTACATCAGTAGCAGCAGTGAGAATCTTGGAGAGGATCACTCTGGCCAGACCGTCTCTGCTGTAGTCCAGTGTGGATACAGCAAGTTTCAGCACTGCATCCTGGTTCTTCACAGAGCACAGACTCAGCAGGCTACAAACATGGAAAATTAGTGTAGATGTTATAAAGAGCTGACCATCATCAAATGTGCCGTGCAACTGTTACATCAAATGAACAAGCACGCCCTTCTTACTTTCTATGGGCCTGGGAAAGCTCAGATAAGCTGTCAGATTTTTCTCTTCACTCACCACTGAAACAAGCCACATTTCTCCAGCAGTTTGACCCCCTGGGGGTGTGCAGAGAGCGTCCCCAGGAAGAGGAAGTAGTGTTGGCTAAGTGTGGTGAGCAGGCCGTTACTCTGCAGACAGCGCTCGGGCTTCAGCCCCGAGGACGAGGACAGCCATGACACCATGTCCCTCACCAGGTCCTCCAGATATCCCTGGCCATCCTGGTGACAAGGGCAAGAGAGAGAGCGAGGTTCAACAAGCTCGAAAATGCCAACAAGTGAAACAGGAACATGTGTGTTTGTGTGTTCATGCATGTTTTTCTAACCTCATCCGAATCCATGAGGAACTCAACAAACTGACATCCAACCACAGTGAGTTGTCTGGCCTTTACGTGATCCAGCGCCAGCCCCGCGTACAATTTACTACTGGGCTTAAAAAAGTACAGCAGCCTTCGCACAAACCTGCATCACACAGAAAACAAAGTATTTAAAACAACATAAGAAAAGCACACAACGCTAATTAAAATGTTGCAGTGGGATTTGGTGATATGAAGGGGCCTTACTTGTGCATCTGTTCATCTTTGTTGTTCCTGAGATTTACATTTGGCCACTGGGAAAGAAGAACACCAGTTAAACATTAGTGAGGGGGAAAAAAAAGTCTCTGCTACTTGAGTGCCACATGGAAACAGCCTGACCTTGAGGATGGTGGTGATGAGCAACCAGTTCCACTCCAGGTTCTGCTTGTGGTTGAGAATGAGACTGTCTCTCAGATTCATCATCAGCGCTTCTTCTGTGTCCTGAACACAAAACACAAAAATAAACAAATTTAACAGTGTAAACAAATAAGAATGTAAAGATTTAAAGCTTCTTAGGTGTTTTGCACAGACTAGCACAAACACTGAAAGCCTACATTTTTCAAAGGAGACTTCTGATAACCTCAAAGCTACTTCATTCACAGGCTGTGTTTGGTGCATTTAACACATGGAGAAATGACAACATGAGATGTTATGGTTTAAGAAGCATTTTTACTACATAAACTGACATCGTCCCAACTTTACAAAATTGAGGTTACTATTGGATGAAAATACTATAACATGTAAAAAGGATGATTTTGAAGGTGATTTGTGCTAAAGATAAAAAAGAAGGCCCCCGCCCTTTGTGCTGAACATACAAAAAAGAAAAGAAAGAAAAGTGTATTCCTCTAAACTGCCTTACTATATAAACTTAAGTCAAAATCTGGAATCTGAAAGGCATGCTGATGTTTACCTTAATGACATAGATGTCCCTCTGAGCACGCGAGTGTGACTCTCTGCGGTTATGTGACGACACAGACTTGCGGATGATGTGGTCTAGGTACAGACTATGTGGTTTCAAACCTTTCTTCTTCTTCTCGTGAAAACGCTTCAGATTGTTGACTGCTGCACTTGCTCGTCTGGAACATACATAACATGGGTGGATGTTTGGTTTGTAAATTTTAACACGTGTTTACAATATGTCATGTTTGTAATCCATTTTTGGAAGTGTCACAGAAGAAAACAGATGTATGTGTGTGTGTGTGTGTGTGTGTGTGTGTGTGTGTGCTCACAGCCGTTTCTCCTGGGGGATGTCAAATGAAGCAGCCATGTTGATGAGGGTGGGGAGGCAGTGCAGGTGGTGACTGTGGGAATGAGGAAGGATGGTGTTTGCCTAAACAAGAGGGGTGGGTGGAGGAAAGAGCAAAGATGCATTGAGAATTAAAGTCCAGTGCACAGCTTCTCAAAATACACAAATCTTCCATGGCTTACTCTTTTTGCAGTGACACACAAGCATAAACATATTTATATTACCATGTGTAGAAGCTCTCCCAACAGGATGGTGGCTCTGACAGCAAGCTGATCCTCACTACTTGTCACAACTTCAACAAGACCCTACAGTGACAAGAGTCAGAAAGAGAAAGTTTAATAGCAACATTCACACCATAAACAGATGTGCAGTAATGCAACACAAATGTGTAATGTCAAACTGAAACAGAAATCAGAGAGGCCATGATGACTGAAATTCATTAACACTATAAAAGCTAAATATTTCTTGCCATACTAGTTGAGTAGTGTCAGTTGTAACACAAACCAGCCCTTAAATGGTTAAAATACATAAACTGTGTATTAGCTCACCTCTAACAGGCCACTGGTGATAAAGGCAGACAGGACAAATGCCAAGTAGTTGTCCATTAGATCAGGCCTAATGAGGCAAACAGAAAAAAAATGATTTTGTGGCTCATGTACTCACTGAACTGACAGCAAATTCTGTAAGCTTCTTTCACTGCTACTCTTTCATACATCTCTCACCTAGAGCGGGCCCGATGGGGCAGAATGACTTTGGCCTCAGCAGCAACAAACCCATCAGACAGTCTCCAGCTGTCCTGAAACCTGGTGGGGTCTGAAGTAATAACAAGCAAAGATTAGCTCATACGGTGTCTGTGTGTGCGATTTTACTAAAAGACGTTTGAATGTGCTTTTTCTCATGACCACAAAAAGGCCAAGCAGCCAAAGTACAATAAAATATTACATACTGCATGCAATAACACCAAAGTCCCATCTTATAAAATACACAGCAAAAGTATTAGAAAAAAATATTTTAAAAAAGACACAATAGATGTTCACTCACCAACACTCTGAAGGGCTTCCATGAAGTCTTGAGTTGCAATGGGCACAGGGAGCCTGAATATCTCATATAACACCTCCAACAAGCCTTTCTGCAGAGCAAATTACATTTAAGCAATCAGACACCAGCATGTTTGATATGGCAGAGGTCCATTAAACTGCACTGGAGAGAGCACTTCCAATATCCCAATCTTAATGCTGTTCAACACAATGCTCTAAAACCCTTTGTTTCACTCTGAACTCAAAGGAACCAAGCATATCTCACTCTGTGCTCCACCCAGACACAAGTGAAAGGCTGTTTGGTGCATTTAATTTCTGTTTACCTTGAAGTTCTCCATTTAACTACAGCAACACTAAAATGATGGGACAAAAACCTCACAGGTAAGATTCAATCAAACAAAAGACAAACTACCTTTATTTCTACACACTTCCTTATTCTCGCTGACTTTTTTTTGGCATGCAGCTGTTTTAATACTCACCCTAACTTCCATATTTGGTATGCTAAGCAAGCCAATTAAAGATTGGATTCCAGAGTTTCCAGCCTTGCATAGGTTGATAATCCCTGAGTAAAAGAAGGAGACAAAAGGAAACATTTCACTCATGAAGCCTTCATCAGAAAAACACATCTATTCCCATACTTAAAGAACTACATTTATCACTACACCTAAGCCCTTACCAGACCAGGAGCGGAAGGCTGCCACGATGGCCATTCTACTAGACAAGAAACGGGCCTCTCTGTCCTCCCTGTGAACATGAAAACACAAGCATAAAAAGGATATTATGTTCAATACACTACATAATTATGATCTTTGTGAGGCACTTTTCATAGAGCAATAAAAAGCACTGGACAATAGATCAAACTACACAAATGGAAAACACTGAAGGAAGTCAAGGAGAACCAATGAGAGATCTTGTTATATAAAAGCAAATCTTTCAGAATGAGTTAAAGCATTAGTGTGATTCAGCCTGCTTCACATCCACGTGCGTCATTGAGGAGTGAAGCAGTCCTGATAACAAAGGGCATGTCACAAAAAAAAAAACACTGTACAAACCCTAAACTTTCTCAAGGCATGCCGTTACAAATATGGGAACAGAGCAAACAATAAACAGAGGGAAATGCCAGAACACTATCTTTTTGTTTCTACTGTAACAGTGACACTCTTCATACACCTCCCAACACACACTCACTTGAGTTGCCCTTCAGCCGTGTCTGCATTGTGACGGTAGTGAAAATCTGTGAAAGGAGCGAGGATTTGCTGGAGGACAGAAACAAAAGATGGATAAGAAGAGAAGATAACAGACTTTTACTTCTCTTTATTAGCTCCTGAAAATGTAATGGAAGCAGTGTTCCCAAATCTGGTAGGAAAAATTAACCTGCTAAAGATATCACATGATGGATCCATGTCAATATTATGACTGTTATGATAGGATGCTTCTGTCCCATTTACAAACAATGAGGCTTTAGAGAAATGTAACTGATTACTGAAGACCCTACAGCTCCTCATCAAGACTGGAATAACTCCCAGAACACTGGCTTATTTCTAAACAGCAGCTTTCTCTGAATCAATATCTGTGTGTGTGTGTGTGTGTGTGTGTGTGTGTGTGTGTACCTCCAGTTCGACATCAACACGCACATACTGACGGGTACGTGGGTGGTTGAGTAGATGGAGGATGGTGGTGATCAGTGCTTCGTTGATACGACTTAGCTGACAGTCAATCACACTCTTCAGAATAGTGCTGAGGCCTCCGCGTTTGGCTACCACCTCTGGGTTCTTCAGGGCTGCACGAACAACAAGGAAAGCAACAAAGAAATGTTTATTCCTTCATAACCAATTAGGTATTTTACAAGGTTCCTCTGTGCACTAGCATAGCCATTCCTGACAGCTCCTGAAAAAGGCCAGTTACCTAGCTCACACACGATGGCGATGGCTGCACGGACCATGCGGTCTCTCTCCTGCAGTCCATCAGTGCCCACAGCAATCAGAGAGTTCGCAACAGAGGTGGGGAATAGCATCGCATTGACAGTGATAATCTGCAGGGATGGAGAGAAGAGAAGCGTAAGTCTGAACATCCATCCATCCATTATATATACACACCGCTTGTTCCTGAATAGGATTGTGGGGGGCTGGAGCCATTCCCAGCTGACATTGGGTGAGAGGTGGGGAACAACCTGGACAGGTCGCTAGTCTATAACAGGGCTGTAGACAAACCACCACACACACTCACTCCTAAGGACAATTTAGAGTCGCCAATCAACCTAAGCTGCATGTCTTTGAACTGTGGGAGAAAGCTGGAGCACGTGGATAGAACCCACGCAGGCACAGGGAGAACATGCAGACTCCACACAGAAAGGCCCTGGGTTGGCCAGGGTTCAAAACCAGAATTTAAGTCTGAACAAACAGAGGTTTAAAAAAAAATTTAAAAAGCATTTTCTTTTCGGGACACTTCTAAAGACGCAAATTTTAAACAGCAAAAATAGGACCTGAATCTGTTCTGAAGGTCCCATAACTCAGAACGCACAGTATAAGTGATAAAGAGGTAATTATTTATGATAAGAGGCTGGGCTATTTGTCATGACATGAACACGAGGATTATGTATGGCTGTGTGAAGACAGTTTACAGTAAACTACAGAGCTATAAATAACCTCGCCTTCAGACCCATGCAAACCACCCACACACTGACACTGCTGCTAACCTAATGATCTGTCCAGTGGTGCTAAGACTGAGCAGTGAGGGCAGAGGGCAAATTCCATGCATGACTTGACAGTGAGGCTACTAGTTAATGAATGCAGAGGAACACAAATGTGAAAAAATGCATGTTATCTTACCTTTCGGACCAGTCTTAAAGCCTGAGTCCTCTCCCCCTCGTTGCTCTGCTGGATGTCAATGCATCTAAAACAACACAAAGGCATAATCAGTCATGTCCTTGTCTGTTTACCACAGTCTGCCAGTAAGAGAAAAATAAATGTGTCAACAGGAGAAGACTAAATATGGCTGCAGCAGATAACACATTTCCCAGTGACCAAAACATGAAAAGCCAGGCAGACAGCAGTTACCACCTGACAGGTGGAATAAAGCGGGGTCTCACCTGGCTATCAGATAGTCCACCTGTAGTCTTAGGACCTTCTGCAGCACGTTGGTGTCCCTAATGAGGTAACGGAGCGCCCGCAACCCTGCAGCACGCACCTCCTTAGCCTCATTGAGTAGAGCTAGTCGCAGACTAGGGGTTAAAAATCAAACACACAGTTGAATCCAAATGGACATAACATAAGATCTACAGTGACTCCACAAACTATTGTTATTTCCTGAACTCTTTCATAAGAATGATGATTCCTGGTTTCTGCTGCTTTTCAATTAAAAACTCAATATCCAGATCAAAACATCTCAACTGAGTGTCTGACTCACAAACAAACAGTTTCACTTGGCTGCACAAATAACAATCAAAGAATTGGAGAAGGAGCCAATGTCAATAAAAAAAATACACTGTGCACTGTCAGTATCTACTGGTTGCTGACGACACTTACCAAATGATGATCTCTTCATGTGTAAACCCAAAGTTTTCCTCACGGTGACCAATGCTGCAGAGTAGCTATAACACAGAAAGAGAACAAAAAATAAATCATCTCATACTTACCAGGACTGCATTATTAGCACAGGCATTATGGCAGTACTAAGGCAAAACAACTGCAAAATGGCACCATCCTCCACCAGAGAAGCTCACTGTTTAAAAGTGTTTGAGTCAAAGAGGCACCAAACTAACTGACCATCCAACAGCACACCACTTTCCTGCAGGGTGCTGCAGGAGCCATGCACATATATTTATTGTTTTTTCCTCTTGTCTGTTACAAACTTTCTTGTTTGGAGCAGGTGAACGGTGAATGTATAATGTTATACATTCACCAGTGGTAAGTGGGGGTTATTATTACAAAAGCATGGGGCCAATACCTTCACATGTCCAGTAGTGGGTGTCAACTTGTGTCACCTCTACCATTTCTTTATGAGTGCATGCATTTGTATGAATATATGTACTGGATATATGAAAACAGAAGAAAAACGTATGCAAAAGGTTGAATAATGTAGTCCTACTCTTCTACTGTACCTACAGCCTGACTATAAGGCTACTTTTAGCAGTCCCGCCACCATCATTAACACACACAGCTGGTGTATACAAAACTGAATTTTTATGTACACAAAAGCAGTTCACTATAAAATCAATAAGTCTTCAACGACGGTCCATGTCAACTGGCAGGCCAAGGCTACCGGCAGTCTAAAAACCCAAAGCAATGAGTTACTTGGCCAAAGTATGCTGCCATTTTAGAGCTGTCACCCTTATTAGAGGCACCCTAGTGCTACTCCACCACAGTAGCTCAGTTTACCCATGCCTATCTGCAGAACAGAAGAAGAGACTGAGCAGGATGGGTTGGATGAACACAGCCATGGAGAGTAAGGGGTTGTTTTAAATCAGCTGTGATGTCAGAGCCCAAACAGGCAGAAGGAGGGGAGAGAGGAGATGGGGAAAGGGCATGTGACATTCTCCGGGGGGATTAGGTCACCCTCCTGGAACCCTTATAAGGAATCAGAGGCATTGTGCTCTAACAGACATGTGCGCGCGCGCGCGCACACACACACACACACACACACACACACACACACACGTCATGGCTTTTACCCACTGTCAGTTGTAAACAAGAGAGTTAGGTGTACAGATTAAAGACGCAACTCAGCCTTCAGCCTGCTACAGTACCAGTTGCACTGTATACTAAATGCCAGCACGCATTGTCTGCACAACCACTGACAATCGGTTAAAATATGTCCATGACACACAGTCAGAAGTTGTTTAAGAGAGCAGGTCGATCAGAGTGGGAATAAGTGCCCAGAGCTGGTGAAATGCAGAGTTGTGTAAATTGCTTCAGCATTTCTCAGTGAGGTGATAGTGGCCAAAAAAAAAAAGAAACTGCAAGTTCTTTCCCCTCGTTCTTGGCTTTCAGTTTTGCCAGTCATTTATTCATTTTCTACACACTGTTATTTCTGTTCTAAATAACAGGAAGGCTCAAAACTATGCCAGTACGTCTTGGGTGGAAGGTAGAAAAACACCCTGTAGCGGTCAGTGACACAGGCCATGTCCACACTAAGAAAAACAATCAGATCTACAAACACTGTTGTTGTGATTCATAAGAACAATAACCAGACAATAAAAATCTCAAGTTTCAAAGTCAGAGAGCTGCTCTTGATACGCAGGTCAGAGACCTTTCCCATCCCTACAGCTCCTGTTACGTTCACTGTCAGCATCACAATGACAGGTACAGCAAGGCTTGCTGTCAGCAACACCAAGAGGTACGGATCAAGGAGAGTTCAGCGGTGACATGACAGAGGAAGGGGAGCATGGCCAGTCAGTTTTACAGGTATCTTAACAGTGAGTTCCCTTTTTGAAAAGCTGCATGTTTGTTTGTATCTGTGGCTTTAACAGGATTTCATGTTGGTTTCTGGGAGATAACCACCTCACAACTTTATCATTTTCACTACTTTTCGATCTTTTCAACACAGCCCCAAACAATAAAAACACAGGGATAAATGCATCACAACTTGACAACAGTCATTACCTTTATGAAATTGTTCAGATGGCCCAGTTTTCGCATGTTACTGACCCCGTGCGGTTTGGCCACATTTTGAAGTATTTCACGGAAGTTTTCTGATGGTTCTACAGGGAAACAAAAAGGGAAATACAATGTAACTAAGACAGCCATTAAGGTATATTGCCATAATATAAGTCTCTGAACCGTGGTGGTATGTTGCAGGAAGGAAGTTGGTTTAGCTGGTCAAACTAATTTGGTGTATACAGTCAAAACAGGGTCTAGACAGTAAAAGCAAGACTTAAGCAGAGAAGTGTTTATTGTTTTCTGTTCCTTTCAACTGCAATGTGCTTATTACAATGCTAGGCACTTGTGAAAAAAGGCTAATTGTTTTTAAAACAGAGTTTCCAATTCAGCATTACCACAAAATGATAAATGCTACAGAGACAAAAAAGTACATCTGCTCAATACATTATGTACAATATTGTCAAATAATAATATCAGTCAAAACAATAACTTAAACACATGAATAGACACTTAAGAGCTTGAAAATGCTGGACTGTTGCCGAGTGCTTTGCAAGGACTGACTTTATTCCACCTAAATGAATACAAAATGTACAAATGTTTTTTCTTATAAGAGAAAAATACCATATAAAACTGTTAGCACTCTCATGTTACAACAAGGCACTGTAGTTATACTAGTATTGCAGAGCTGCACAGATCTATTAGGTACAGCCAAAGGCCCATTAATTAACAGGGCAATGATGGGAATCTGTAAATACAATAGTCACAGTAATCATAACTTTTGCGCTTGATGATCTGTAACTCCTTGGCACAGACATGGTTTAGTCTTCAGTTTTATGTACTAATCTCTGATGACAAACCACTATAATGTTATGAAACACACACCCTGAGGTTGATCAATATCATACACACGGGTATATTCTGCAAATCCACGATGAAACAGCTGACAGATAACATTAGGTGTCCCCCATCCCTGATTTAGGGGCCTCTAACCACCTCAACAGGACTAAAATACAGTTGGCTACATATGCCGCACCCATTTGGCATTTCAGATACAAAATAAAATTGATTTGCACGGCTGCAATAAAGCCAGCGGGTGCTTGTGTCCCAAAGACAGGTACAGAGCTCCATGAAAACAAACTGGTATGCAGAGTTGCTGTCGAATGAGTAAATATATCTAGCCTGTGCAGCTGTGTGCCAGTGTGGCACTAGTCAAGCCACTCTGCGCATTCTGTGCTGTCTAAATGCTAATCAGCTAACAGCCTTGAAACACGATGTCTCCTACAGTCAGCAATGACCAATGCATGACTGTAGCACTTATGACTGGTTGGCCAAATAACAGGCTTGCCCACTCACACAAATCAAAACAAGAAAGCGTCGACATGGCTCGTTAGCTGTGGCAGCTAGCTAACGCTAACTCAGCTAGTTAGTTAGCTAGCTACCGCCTGTTATTATGATATCGCTAGCAATGTTTTTGACAAAACAGCAAGGAGAAACTGACGAAATGACAAGAGCAATGACAGGACAAACGCACCAGCTAACTTGATTTTCCTTTCATAGGGCTAGTGTTTGCAAAAATGCTCCTCATCCATTTTGAACAATAATCACTTTCAGGGTGATGTGATGAAGCCCCTGCTTACCTCTGGTCAGATCCAGCGGTACATTCTCTTCCCCGCTGTCATTCCGACCTGTCAAAAACACATACCGCGGACATGAGAAAGGATCACGCCAAGGTCATCACTTGCATGAGAAAATCTATTTTTGCAGTATCCCACTAATACAGATAGCATAGAATCGCGTTTTCCACCCTTACCCCGCATCCGAAGACTCCGAATAGGACGGCCGCGGAAGCTGGCCGCCATGTTTCCAGGAACATACACAACACCGGAAACTTCGCGACCTCTCGCGAGAAAACGCACAACGGGGGTTGTCACGACAAAGCTGCAGCAGACCTCCGACAGACCCGAGATCAGATGATTCCTCCTTAATCCCTCAGTAATCCCATCAGGGATCAAACAAATTCTGACCTGGCGACTGTACAACTGTCTATTAAGAGGGGGCAATTGAACGACTCGATATTGGGAAGTTCTCATAATAAATACAGGCTAACTTATCATTTAAAATAAAACGTCACCGCACTCGATTATTACTGTATATATCTTTATTGCTGATTAAGAAAGTCAGAGTAATCATTCATAATCACCAATGAATCAATCACACACAATGTATTGATCACCTCCAGTCAATAGCTATAATGCTGTATATTCGTCAAAGCATGTCACCATTGCACTCTCCGCTGTTCAGAAGGTCAGCACTGCTAAAGTAGCTGTTAGAACACGTTGCAACATTACACCATTCACCAAAATCCTAATTAATCGTAAATCACTTGATTTTTATTAGCCTATGTTTTTTAATTAAAAAGCACAGTAATTTAAACAGTAAATGATTAATACAAGTGCTGACAGGCTACATTCATCAACTATTATAATATCATTAAGCATAAACATAAACCTTATTATTATGAAAAATACAAGCAATTTGACCCCAGCCCAGTGGACCCCGATGTGCACAACAAAATAAAAACAGAATAAAACTAAAACCACAGGTTAAAAAAAGCAAAGACAAAAATGAAAAAAGTACACACATACATATAACAACTATTATTATATATTAAAATGATGAAGTAATCGGATCTGTGCTCTTCAAACTGGCATTAGTGTGGATAGTTTTCATAGACACAGTCTGTGGGAAAAAGAAAATGTGGCTTTTATTTAGAAAGTAGAAATTAATCAAAATTACTGTTGTAGTCTGTGGTTTAACAATGCGTGGTGTTTTTATGAATTGAACCGTAATCTGCAGAGTAACTAGTAATTATAGCTGTCAAATAAAATTTTAAAAGTTTATTTCCCTCCCTCAAAACCGCACATAAGTACCTAATTTCTTACTGTATTAAATACTTGAGTAAATTCACACCACTGCTGGTGTGTCATCTTAATATTTTCAGTCACCAAAACATACCTTCTCTGACTTTTTCATAAATATGAAGCCTGTAAAATAATGATCAGATACAAAAATATTATGATGCAGTTCAGTATAATTCAGTTCAGTACAATTGTCTGTATTAGGCTTAAGTAAAACCCTAAATAAAAAATTACTGTCAGGATTTTCAAATCTATACTTTTGAGTCACAATATGTAGGTTGAACATATTCTGATATTTATTTCAAGAACTAATTACCCATCAAAAGGCAGCAGAGAATCAACATCATCATACGCGTCATCTATGGGCACAGAGACACAGTGTTTAGTATCACCTTGACCTCCATAGAGGCTTGTACAATAAAAAAATTAATTAAATAAAATAAAACATTTTTTAAAAGCTGACATGTTTACCTTCATCTTTGGTTCGTTGTTGCCGACGAGAAATTCTGATGCAAAAAAATTAACACACAAAGAAAAAAACTATGTGAAGATGCAGTTTGGGTGGTTAAAACAGATCTGAAGGTTGTATATTTAAATGTTTATGAACAGGATACCATAAACAATAAAAAAAAATTGTTGTCTTAGCATTAACTAAAGAATTCTGTAACTTTCAGCCTCAACAATGAATGTAGGCTATTAATAGAGATAACAGAATATAATGTTGGATTAGATTAGATTCAACTGTAAAACATTCAATACAATAATCACGTTGACCATGAGGTGTCATCTATGCACAATGATCTACATTCAGTTAAACAGCAGGAGTTGATGGGCAGAGTACTTTATTTCTTCATTATTTGAAACTGGTTGGAAGTGACACTTGATCTCTATGTGAATTAGGAACTTTTTTGGCTTGATTTTCTTGAATCCATCAAAGACAGATTCTTGACTCTTATTTTTTGACTCTTCATGGGCCTGACCTCTAATGTCTCCCACAGTATTAGCATCACTGTGAAGCACAGAAAAACAGTACAACCTTGTCTCTGGATTATCCACGTCATCATAAATGTTGTCCTCCTCTACTGTATAAAAGAAACACTGAAAATTAACACTCATAGCTGTAGAGAGGGCTTATTATTATTATATGTTTTCAATAAAAAGCAACCCAGCTTACCATTTTGTGTATATAGGTCACTAAAAATAAAAAAAAAGCAAGAGATAATCTGTGTGACTGATTTTTATCTTTCAGGATGTTTACACAATGTTTTAGAGGCATCATGTGTTGAACCTTTGTGCTGGTGATCCGATGTCATCATAAACCACATACTGTGAAGATGTGGGTGCTGGCTCCTCACTGTCTTTCAAATTATAGTAGTCTGTATCGACACACTCAGGCATTACATCTGGAAGAATGCATAGCCTTATATCAGCATAAATTGCTGCTTGGACAAATGTGTGTTTATCCTCATCACTGCCTTTTCTTCTTTCTATTCTACATTTTGTAACTGCAGAATGAATTTATGCAGAATGTCTGTTTGCAACTTACACGCACCCCCCTTGTTCCTGGTCAGCCACTGTCCCACAGTGTAACGGGTTGCTGCTTTATACTGAGACACATCTGATTTTCCAACTTTAATATCAAGAAGTGCCTTTCCCTTCTTGATTATGTAAGCAAGTCCTTTAGTCTAGCCGAGGGAAACAAGATGTCAGTTGTTGTTTTTATAAACTTAATCTGTTATTAATGCATTTATGGCAGTGTCAGAATATCCATATAACCAATATGTGTTGCTACAGTAAATCAGCTTATTTAAAAATGAAAGTCTAGTGTGTAGATTTTGTACTTTTACCTTAACCTTCGTTGCTTGTTGGCCCCTTACTGCATGTGTCGTCTCCTCTGTGACGGTGCCGTGGTTTGTGTCACATTTTTCACCAGAGACTAAAAACAATGCAACAAATAATTCAGTAATCTTGTCTGTCAGTAGCTTTTATTAATTTATTACTTTTTTAATTGCTTGTATGCAATATGACATTTTAGATATTGACCATCTGAATGATTAAAATAATTGTAGATTTAGTTGGTAAAACCATTTAACCTTCACTGGGGTGCATTGGAGGGTTTATGATGCCGACGTCTTCCCCCAGCTGCTTGATCCTTGATTATGGTCAGAAAGAGATTTTATAAATTCACATTTTATGGGCAGACTGGACTGGGTCTTTTTATGCAATTGTACACCCCCATTATAGGAAGCTTTTTTTTTATTGTTATTATCAGTGAGGGTCTAAAACAGCTTGAACAGTGAATCCACAATGGGTCAGTCTGACAAAGCTCATAACCAGTCCAGGTAAAACTTTAGTTGAACCTTATCTAATTAACAATAACATAAGCCATGTACACTTGCATATCTGAATAGCTGGCAGCATTGTAATTTACAATGGTGTATACGTCTATATTAGTGACACTTACGGAGCAGATGTACGGCGGGATGATGGCTGCAAACACAGAAGTGGAGGGGCAGGAGCAAAAAAACATAGCTTCGTTTCTGTCAAACAAATATGTAATGTTTAATTAAGTGTCTCACTGAACACTTTGCTTCAATTTACACATTTTAACATAATAGTATATGAAGCAGGAATAACTACATGTGGGAATGAAGCCTTTTCTTAAAATTAAATTATTATTTAAAATAGTTTCTCACCATCATTTAAAGATTTTATAATCCTTCTCAACTGATGAGAACTTGGTGATCTGTTGGGCTTCAGACGAGGTCTTGTCAGAACAAGGCTCTCCTTGGGAATGCTGCGTTGCTGCACCAGAGAGATTCCGGTGCTTTGGTTCACTTTGGGAACTGATGGCATATTGGGTTCCCGGGTTTCTGGTTTCAGAATTGTGGCAGACTCCCATCTACTGTAATTAGCCAACACTGGCTTGGATGAAGCAAGAGGCGCCCTGGCTTTTCTGAAAGCATCAGTATTTGCTTTCACTGGAAACTTCATCACTACATTTTCAGAATGAGAAGGCCCGGAGAGTCCAGTGAGGTTTTTGCCTTTCTGTGTTTCATCAGGTTTAAGTGGCTGTGCTCTGAGTGAGGATGGGCTCACATTTTGTGCGCCTGTAGGCCTTCTCTCAAAATCAAACTTAGGAGTGTGGGAGCTACTGGTTGTGTTCTCCGAACCTGATTGATTTCTTTCCAGAGAAGCTATCCTGCATTTCACAGAGGATAAAACGGAGACCTCTTGTTGGAGTCGTAGTTTATCTGGCAGAGAGCTGCAACTTGTGCTGTGCCAAGCCATGAGACCCTACGGATCTAAGACTGTCTTTCCTATATAAAGGAAAAGAAAATAATTCCTGCTTAGTTTAGAAACTCTTAGTTTTGGCCTTTGCTTTTTTTCATACTTGAAAAGGGGAAAAATCTCCAGCTGTCAAGAGAAACATTTCATCCAAGACCATTAAAAACTGAAAACAAACCTTAACATCAATATCAGCGCTGCTTGCATGATTTCAGAATTTCACAAAATTGGTTCAAAAATAGTTCGTAATCACTCACCTGATCTTTCCATGTAAGTATGTCTGATTGTGTGGCCAGTCAGTGTGATGCAACTCACTTGAACAAAATGCGCCACCTATAAAGGAAGTAGTCATCCTTAACTGAGTGAAAAAAGCAACTGCCAACCCCCCCCGAACCACCACCACCACCACCACCAAAGTATTAAACATAGACTATAATAAGAAATACTATAACATAAATTTACAAATTAGATGACCAAAACCCCCACACAGATGCCTATAAGTACCATTACTTACTCCATATCTTTGGTGTTACAAGACTGAAATCTTTTTCCAGGGAGGAATCTGAACATAAGCACTGTGTTAGTTATAGGAACAGCTCTTGGCAACTACTTTTTTTTTATCTCAGCTGAAATTTACTAGGTATACAGAGTATATTTACACATTTCTCATATATTTTATTATGCTATTTTTTTAAACTCATTAAAGTAAATACAAGACTTTTTGGGTGTTTGTTGTCTATGGAGGGTCCATGTCACTCAAAACTACTGTCAGTTGATGAAAGATTAAGGAGAACAAAATAAGACATTTCTAACCCTTTCTGGGTTGTAAACACGGCCCTGATCTACATGTTGCACCTGAGGTATATGAACACAGCTTCTTTGAGTAGTGACCTATACCACTCATGCACTTAACTGAGCTTTATGTCACACAGAAGGTCTGACCTGAAGCGAACAGGATGTGAACATTGCATACAAGCTCATTTAAGTTTTAAAAATTAAGCTCAGCTTTTCTTTTCAGCTTCCATAATTATTCAGCATTTCAACACAGCCTTCAGCTGTTTCAGCAGTGGATTTCAGCCATTTCGACATTATCAGGGCACTTCTTCAGCCATCAGCATGCATACACATTTTGCAGAAAATGTCCTTGTCTAATTTTAAATTTCATTCACACCTTTTCCATTATAACCACAGTTTGTGCAAAATGTCATGACGAAAAGGTATTATTTGCCTCAAACTCTTATCTCTGATCTTAACAGGAAGAAACTGTGTCTGACCAGTTTAAATAAACTGACAAAGTCTATGAAACTTTATTAGAGTGTCTGTACATAGCGGTAAAAGAGTTTTACACTGCCAGTCGAAACTTTGGACACTTTCCCATTCAATTCAAAGGGGAATGTGTGTGCATGTGTGAAAGTGCATGGATTTCTTCTGCTACTTTTCTCATTTAAGTCAGCGCGATTGCAGAAATGAAAGCATCAATGTCCTGTATGGCCTCGGATGTCCTCTGCAGAGCTTCCTCCACACTGCTCTCATTCACTGACTCATGAGTCCCTTCTTCTGTAGAGCTACCTTGTGGTTCTGCACATCCTTTTTCACTTCTTAGCAGGTGGCTGCTCTCCAGAAGAACTGGGCACAGGATGTTAAAGAGCATAAACGTGGCAAATGTGCAAAATCTCACAACAAAAATCAGTAAATGTGTTCACAGCCGATTGTGCAAAGTGCTGAAGGATACAACTGAACCGTTTTATCTTCTCCAGTTCTGCAGCTATAAGGTCTGACCTGAAGCGAACAGGATGTGAACATTGCATACAAGCTGTTAATACTGTACTGTTCAATAATACCACAAGAAAGATTAAAAAGAAAAAATATATATATAACTCACTGGCTTTCTGCTGTATGTATGATATTCAGGTGCTGCTCTACAGGTACAGGATTTGACAGATTTTCTTCAAGAAAAACTGGTTTTGAAAAATGTCTGTCCTGCAAACAAAATACTAATATGTGATCATCAATTTACAAGGGTGAATATTTCATACAAATTGTAGTTAAAAATCCGCAGGGATGGCTTTTTTTGACCTCTTGCAAGCAGCTGGGTGTGGTGGGGAACTTCAGTGACTGCTTGGCTTGGTTGTAGCAACTGAGAATCCTATAAAACAGTGATCTGTTAGTCGAAGACTTGAAGGTTATAAAGCCATGAAATTCATCAGACCGTGAAACAGTGGCAGCCTACCTGCCTGCACGGCTCACAATAGAGCATATAGAGTAGACCTGCCCGAGTACATCAGGTGGAAGGCTATTCAAATGGTATGTTAACTCCTTCACCTGGGAAACACAGGCAATGAAATAATTGGGTATTGTACATTTATGATGATGAAGAATAACGAGTGGCTCCAGCAAACATTCAGATTCCTGGGAAACACAGAGGGAAAAAAACTGGTCTATGTATGATGGTCCAGTGGGAAGATATAGAGATGTGATTTCCTCTCTTGATACTTCACAGTCAATATCATTCTTGTAGAGGTCTGATTTACTCTTCTTGTGCCAGTGCGAATGACTGGAATCCTCTGAGCAGAAAGCTGAAGGAGAACTGCAGACAAAAATAAGTGTAAACCAAAAGTTTCCAGACAGGAGAGAAGTTGCGGAGTTATTTCAGTAGAGGATCAGTGAATGTGTTTACTGGTCCCAGGGGAGTACATGTAGGATAGCTGGTATAAAGAGTATGAAACAGAAAACTGTGAGCATACAGAAAATAGTGAAAAAAAAATAAGAACATGTGATCAAGACGGTGAACCATGAAGGAATTTGAAATGGGAAAGTAAAAGGATGAAAATGGAGAATCGTACAAATTTAAACATAAATCACTATAACACAATGCAGAATACAAATAGCACAACTACCATAATAAAACAACACCAACCATATACAGTATATACACCTGTAACCATGGAAGTGATCAGAACACCTGAATGGGTGAGTGAATACTTTTGGCAATATGTATACCAACTATGTTTTTATCCTGACCACAACACTGCCATATAGAACACTGTTAGTATTTAAACAACAATACTAAGGTCATTACACGAACCTGTTCAATTAAATTCAATTCAGTTTTATCTGTATAGCACCAAATCACAACAAAAGTCATCACAGGACACTTTACAAATAAAGGCCTAAACCTTACTATTATTAATATTATAGAGGAAAAACCCAACAAATCCCCCTTGGGCAAGCACTTGGCAACAGCGGGGAGGAAAAACTCCCTTTAACGGGAGAAACCTCTGACAAACCCCAGCTCTTGGTGGGCGGCCTTCTGCCTCGACCGGTTGGAGTGAGTGGATAGAGGAGAGAGAAAAGAAACAAAAAGGAAACAACACTATGGGGGAGAGGAAACACACAGTTAATGAAATGTAATGCTGCCATATAAAAATAAAAGAGAGAAGAGGAGCTCTGCATCACGGGACAACCCTCAGCCTAGGCCTATAACTAAGGGATGGTACACCAAACCAAACTTATCCTAGAATACATATCCAATAAGTCTGTAACATGGAATTCTTGATGTGGCAGATTAAACAACACAACAGTTACAAGACGTGATGCTTAAACCTACCTGCCCTGATTGGTGCTCAGGTTTGTAATGGGTAAAATAAGTGTTAAGGACTCCATTAGACCGGATCACTGATCCATCTCCCGGGGAGACCTCTATGACCGGGACAGCTCCACTCAGTATCCTACACAGAAGACATAAAGGTAAACACTGTTTTTTATGAAAGAACATAGGTCACCTTTCTAAACATCAAAGTCTAAAATGTGAAAATAGGTACTTCAAATGGCAAAATAAAATTTCGAAGATCTTTAACCCTGAGAACCTGTATGCACACCTGTAGGTGACTCCTTGACACCACATCACTTTCACCAGCTCTGGAAGATCTTGGTCTGGATCTTCATTTTTGGCCAGGGAGTCTTTAATCTTCCACCTTAAATACACAAGTGTGGAAGCTTAAATCATTTGCTGAGCACTGTCAAATAGTGGATTACATGCCTGTTATTAATCAACAAACCTATGCCAGTGAGGTGATGGACATGTGAGAGGGAGCACCGGAGGAAGGCAGGACCTCCTGTCTTCACTGGATATGTCCGACACGGTTGTCTTCCCGTCAGCCTGGCTGTAATCACTGGTTCCCTCCGCTCCAACATCTTTGGATCCAAACCGATGAGTCATCCACTTATTGCGAGCCAAGGAGAGAGGGTAGCGCCATATGGAGTCAACAGCACAGCAGG